TTGTTAACTCAAGGGTAAAATACATTCAGAAGACAGGTTTGAATAATAAGTTTAGATGATTACATTTTTTTTTGCCAACCAAAATGTTTTACTATACTTCATGTGCTAAGAGAAAAAAAATGGTGCTCAAGGACTGTCACTGCTTCAATGTTGACATCTAAGACAGTGCCACTGTTATCACAGCTTGCAAACTACTGTCCTACTGTGCAAAAACTATAATCAACACTTTACCACTAATTCTGCAGTCTTTAACAGATCACTCCTAGCATTGTAGTGAAGAATTATTAGAATCATTCAAGAACAAAGAGCCATATTGTGTAGCCATATTTGAGACCATCATAAGTTTCATGCAATGGTAACTTTTGTCACATTGCCATACCGTATCTGCCTATCCTGCTGTATGCATCCAAAGATAGTGCACTCCAGGACAGGCCTCTTAAAATTGAGAAGAGAGTAAGCTATTATGAACCTTGGTACCAGGCAATCCATCTTTTAACTTTGGTCAGAGAGAAGAGAAATAAACATATATAATATTCAGTTTAGTGGGTCTAGAAGGCAAGGGAGTCACATGACAGCAAGTTGATACTGGAACATGGCTTAACATTACTTATCAACAGAGAGCAAAATCCAGTCTGATGCAACATGAAAAGAAAATAGATTTCTCACCTTGCTCCAGCAATAAGCTCTTTTTGTCCTGGGTCAAATGTTAACTGTGAGAAGTCCACAGCATCTTTTGCTTTGAACACGTGTAACCAAGGGGCAATTTCTAAAAACAATCAAGAAATAAAATTGTTACTATAAATGTTCTAGCTGTAGTACGTCAGGTACCATTAAATTTGCAGATATTGTGGGTCTGCAAGTTTTCTCCATATGGACTTCTAAGGAAACAGGAGACTTTCACCACCATGCCATGTAATTTATAACATAGGCCTGTAAAATACATAGAGCAGCCACCCAATACCCATTTGAATGAAGTATCCATATTTTGGTCTGATTTGTAAGCCAGATATGTTTTTCCTCCTTAGGTAAAGCAGAAAACACCACAGTACAATTGCAATTCACTGCAATACATACTAAAGTGAAGTCAAATTAATTTTCCATGCATCAGAAATAGCTGAGGACTAGGGGTTTTATTTATTTAGCTATTTATTTAGTTATTGCTTTTCTCTACAAAAGGATCCAATCAAGTAAAAAACAATGAGAAAAACAAGTAAATTTGACATTTCACCATTTTCACAATAAAAAGATTGAGAAATGAGGGGTGAAAAAGGAAAAATGCTTGACATTCATTGAAATTTTTTTTTTTCACCTGCCTTTCTCAGACCAACTTAGTGCTACATTAAGCGGGGCAGTCAAGTGGGTGAGTTGCTGAAAATCAGCAAGGAACATTACTGGTATTAGAATATAAATTTGTTCCTACTTCCAAACTTAAACACATAAATAATTGCACATCAAATCCTTAAATATTTTCATTATTAGTAGTTTTTCTTTTGCATTCATATCACTAACTGAACACCCAACAGTTTGTCTATATGAACGGTGTTCTGGGAACAGAGCATGATTTTTTTTTTTTTTTAATTTTACTATTTTTTAAATAGACACTCAGAATACATAAAATTTCTCTAACTATATAAATGGCTCTCGAAAAAAGGTCCAGTTGTACAAAAACCTCATCCTCTAGAGTTTTACAATTCTCAGGATGCTAATTGAAGTTTTGTTTTTTTTAAAGTAGTCACAAAGCAGTGGTCCAGAATTTATGTGAAAGGTGAAGAGGGCTAGGTATGTATGGCACAACAGGCTGTGGAACCATCTATTTGAAGACTATAGATGTGAAACATTCAATAGAAAGACCAAAGATGAGTACACGGTCATGACCATTTAGAATACAAAGTCAAAACCAACCCCCTCCTGAGAGTGCTGTAGAAGTGTAATTTTTGATACCAGTGTCATCAGTTGCAGCTTAGGCTGAAAATATCCATTCTAAACTCCTTTCTTCACTCATGAGCATATTTTTCCTTTTGCAAATATCTGCGTTGAACAAATCCATGTCTAGTGCCCATTTCAGGATGATTTGTTCCTCATTTAAATATTGAAATTTTAGCACAAGTGGGCTATCCATTCCTAAGGAATGGGCCCAGGAGAAAAATGTTATTCTGCATCAAAACATGTTCAGCCATTGCAGAGAACCATTAAAAGCACTGTGCAGAAGCTGTAGCATCATATACTTTGGTAAAACAGATGGAACTGTGAAGTTGAATCATTTGGGTGTCAGAAAACTAACTTCTGCATTTTTAATGACAGCCTGTATACATCTGGGCAATTTCAGGCATGCAAAGCCAGTTTGTACATGTTTTGCAGCACTTTTAGCTAAATTCACTGTTGATTCCATCTGTATTGGATAGGTTCTCAAATCAGGATCTGAACAAAGTGGGGGAAAGGGGATGTGGCCGCATTAGATAACTTTGATTACAGCTGCCATCAGCCGTTACTGCAGATGCTGTGCATAAAACCTATCAGGATTCTGAAGGAAGGATAACAATATACACACACATATACATTATAGGCCTGTGTAGCCTTATACATACTTATTTATCTACCTATATTTATATATATATAAGACCACACAGGCAACCCTAAAAGAGGTGTTTCTTAACGTTTTTGTACTTGATTTTGCAACCTTAACTTTTCAGTCATGCATTTCATACCAAAAAAATCAATTGTAAAGTTCTAATAAGTTAAGAAATCAGGTAGGACATGAAGATGAAGACATTCAGAGGTAAGCCATAAAGAATCTCTCCTGATGAAAAAAAATGAACAAAAAATGTAGCCTCCTTGTATAAAGCATTGTGACTAAGACAGACATGGATACAAAACCATTTTATAAAGTAGCAGAAATTCAGACAAAATGATAATACTGATAAATAACCACTAAAATCAAAAACCCTAAATATACTATGATAAAAAATGGGGCTTTAATAAAAAGAATAGAATACCCATCCTGGAAGTCCAGCCAAGCCAGTGGGCAGAAGTTGCAAAAGGGGCTGGAAGGACAGACAAGGACATGAGTTTAGTCCCTCGTCTGCTATGTTCCCCTTCCAAATGATTGTACGAGCCATGGGAAATGCTGCTTCACACATGCAGGGAATTTTCACTCTTTGAGATGGAAGCCACAGCTCCCTGGGCTCCCTCTGCCTTTGCTTGCACCCAGAGTTACTGTCTTTGAGGAACAATCTTGCAGAACCACATACAAATCTACTAAACTGACAAAGTACAGCTCAGGTTACCGAAGTACTAACACTCAAATTTGTACTACTGAGTGAAAATAAGTACAGCTGAGAATGCCACTGGCTCCCCAGCAGATCTGCATGCCAGCAAAGCCAGACTCACTGTGGAAACATCAGTCTCTGAAAGAGAAACACGGTAAACAGTTGAGAATGGAATTACCTCAGCTGGTAGGATAAGTGAGACCCTAAGGGTTCTCTTCTGAATGAAGAGGAAAGGAATAGCTCCCCATAGCATGGGGAGGCCAAAGACATTTCAGTACACAGAGGTACTGCAGTGCCAGAAGACTACAGGGAAAACTGAGATTCAAAGATTCAATTTCCTTCCACTTGTCTAGCTGTCTCAGCAAGACACAATAAAGCTTCAAGGTACAGCAAGCAGGTGATTGAGACCATTACCAGGTTTGGAGCAAGGGAGCAGGGGCCAGGAGGGCAAGGCAAGCCCAGGCTAGAGAACAAGAAGAGAGGAGTTGCTAAGAAATTTCTCTGAAATCTGATTCCTCTCTATCCCTCCAATATATAAATTATTTTATCCTGTCTTTGTTGCATTCAGCAGTGTTCTTGCTTGAGGGAATAAGGTCAGGGAGAGTAAATGGCTGTTAGAGCTCTTTTTTCTTTTTTTTTGGAAAACACTGAAACTCATGTGCCACAGTGGCATCATGTGTCACCCAGGAATAAGTCTTTATGAGATAAAGCTACAACTTCGTGACACTTTTGTAAGGGAATATGAATACAAAAATAGTGCCTATTAAAATAATAAAAAAAAAAGACAATTAACAAACCCATGTCCAGTAAAAGAAAAAGCTTATTAGTGAAATTCTGCTGTGAGTTATGCTACAGAAGAATTATGTAACTAATTAACAGAATAATTATATTTATTTTCATCAAAACAGCAAAATCTAGATGAAAGCCCATAGGTAAAACAAGACTTTTCAGTTCTGCTATGAGCTATCAAGTTAAAGTCAAAATTCATAACAAGCTATTAAAGGTGTATAAATTATTTTTTCTCCAATTAAAAAAATAATGGCAAAGTAGTAAGCAGTTATAATTTCACTTTATTAATGGTTTCCATGCAGGTGCAACATGGCAAGCTTTACAAAATAACAAAGCTGTACATTTTGTATACTACAGCACTACCATAAATAAATGTGTACGTTAATTAAGCTGGCCTGTCAACACGTAACCTAATCGTACTGCTTGCCAATCACAGGTGACAAACAGCAACACCTCTTCCCTTTCCAATTCTAACCTTCCCCTTTCTGGCATTCCACTCCCTTTCTTCTGCCCTCAATTCATGTGCAACACAGTAAAACACCAAGCTCTTTATTGACTTCTCTTTTCTTACTCCTGATACTGAAAGCACCTATTCAAACACACCTTCAGCCTGGTTTTCTTTTTTTTTCTTTAATACTAAGTGGGTAGATATTGGTCTAAGACTTAAAGTCGTCCACAATAAACTGTGTTATGGTATACATACAGTCATGACTACAGCCAATCTCCCAACACATGCTGGGTCCTTTAGGTACATTTAAGACATAATTACCCTTAGCAGAAAAAAAAGAAAAACTATTTAATTGCTATTACGGTACTGAATCTGCAGGCCTTATAACTCAAAAACATTCCCCCCCAAAAAAACACTTTCCCATGGAACTAAAATATGGATATTGAAAAAAGTCTTTCTAAGAAAGCTACAGCTCTCTTTCACATCTTGGGAATCACGTGCTATGGGTTTTCCTGGGGGGTTCAGGTTTGGGGAGCACGGGGGTTAATAGCTTAGATTTAATATGAAACAAAGTTTGGCATGGTCTATAAATCTACAGCAAAGCAAACACACCGAAGTCCCCTCAGCTCTTAGGAAAGGTCAAGGGGTCTCCTAAAGAGCTTTAAAGACAAAGGAGGTTAACAATCAAAGCTCGGCAGGAAAACATTAGATACTCATTAAAAAAAAAAAAAAAAAAAAAAAAAAAAAAAAAAAAAAAAAAAAAAAAAAAAAAAAAAAAAAAAAAAAAAAAAAAAAAAAAAAAAGAAAGGCCAGAAATCTGTCTCTTTTTACTTTAAATTTAGTATCTGCCCAACAGGCCACAGCTTGTTTGGTTTACATTGTCCAAGGACTTGCCAAGGGCTGAGCTCCACAGTTCTTTGCAAATGAAATCACAGAGTTCCCTCTAATCTAAGTTTCATTATTCAGCACTTGAAAGTAGAGGTACAGTAAACAGTAAAATAAAGTAACGACTAATAAGGAATAGAGTGGTATGCTTTGAACCAAATTCAGAAGTGATATTTAATGTTAAATAAAGTCAAAAGACAATAAAGATCTCCTGATTTAATTTAAAAATTAACAGACATTAAAAATTTCAGTAGTGTTTATGGTGTATGTGTGTCACACCTCATGCCATGGTGTCCTTTTTGAAAATAGCGAGCACAAAGTTAAACATATGCACAGTACCACCTTCTTGAAGAAATTCTGTTAGCAAAATAACAACAA